ACTTCCCAATTTCTAGTGTAAGAAAAGATGGACAGTGTAAAGACAGACACCAAAAAGGTTTAACTTATTTGGAGGAGAATAACTTTTAAGGCAACAAAGATAAAGTTCTGCTCTCTCAAGCATAATCTAATCTCTCCAAAATTGTCACTGACTGAGCTATAATGCAATTCTACGAGGTTTTTGCTTTGCAACTTATTTCAAGCCTAATAACCGTTATGATCTGAATTAGCCAGAGAAGGTAAGAGATTCATTACCTAATAAGTTGTAGAAGAGCACTTTCTGAAGTCCACTCATTTGATATCATTGCTACTAAGTTCTCTGAACTTTATATTTACTGCATAAAACCACACTCAGGAAAAAGGCGTGGAAAATTTGCCTGTGTATGTCCCTTTTTGTGAAACTACACCTCCTATCCTACAAAGGTAGAAAACAGTAAAGCTAATTCATGCTCTGATAAAACAGATGAAGTACATGGTCCATGCATTCCCTCCTTGTGCCTACCCCTAGCACATCTGGGAGCTTTCCTCCTTGCTTTTTGCACAGAAAAAGGTGGTGAGTTAGGAAAAACGAGCCAATAGTGACTGTGCTAAGGTAATTTGATATGGAAATGGCATCTTCTGTATGGAAAGAACTGACTGGTTTTTTTATAGNAAAAAAAAAAAAAGGTTGTGCACTGAAACATTTGAAACATTCAATATGCTGAATTTATCCAAAAGGAAAATCTCTAGATGAGAGTCTATTGGAAACGTTTCTAATACTAAAAACACCTATATATTTTGAAAAAAAAAAGCATAACAAGATCTCATGACAGAGAAAGTGCAGCTATAAAAAAATTTTTTGCATTTGCTCTTAATGACAATGAAAATAAGGAACACCTTATACTTTGCTTAACCCTGTATTCTTCCTTCTTTAAAACAATTCATTTTTCTTTCTTGTCTTGAAAATATTTGTCACCCAAGCAAAAACTGGACACAATGTGAACATTTTTATGTTTAGATCTATAATTTTTTTACATGTAAGAAAGTTTAGACACTTATTATTTCTTCTGTATTTATTTTGCAAACAAAATTTTTTTATAGAAAGTTTTTGAAATGGGAATACAAACCGAGTAGCCAGTTCAAAACATAAAGGAAGACATTTTTTCCCCAAGGATTCAAGTTCAGATCAAAGCTCTTAAATGGATATCTAACAAGCTATATAACAATACTACATAACAAAGGTGATAATTTAAAAAAGCAACACCTTAACCTAGACGCTACTTGGAAGACATGCAAGAAACAGAGACAAATTCCTGAATTTTTCCATCAGATATAATATTCCAAAATGTTTGGACATTATCTCATGTTTGGTTGTTTACTTTTTTTTAGATGCATTTGTTCATATATGCTATATAATATAGTCACTGTATAGAACAGGCATTTTGAAAATATTTCTCTTATAACTTTCTATCAAAAGAAACATCAAAATACACTTCAAATAAAAGTTTGGATTTTTTCAAATCTTTATTTTCAAGGGGAAAACTCCTATGATTTTGAGCCAACATAACTTTTGTTACTTTAAATTAAAATTTTATGCTTTCAGGTATTTGTTACTTCAAATAATTACTATTTTTATTAATATTCTAACTACATTAGCACCCACCCTCCCGCAACAGTGAATTGCAGAAGCACAAATGTATTTATTTCTTGGTCAAATGAAACTGCTACTTAGAAAGTTGTTTTTAGTTCTACAAAATATAGACCAGAAAGGCCATCAAAACAAGGAGATTAGGAAGATAATTCACATTTGGCCACGTCCAAAGAAGACTGTTTTCCTTGTTATGCCACTTAGTTCAGTTTGAATACATGAACTTGAATTCAGTTCATTGTACTTGGACAACTGGAAGTAGAATTTGAGTTAAGAGCATTAATTAAAAGCAAAAGTGAGTGTAATTCAACACATTGGGACTCATCCAGCAGGAATAGTGCATTAAATTATTTATTTTCTATCAACCCCTACAACAGAGATTGTATATAATTATTGTTCAACTGCATCCCTCCATAATGGCTGTTGAATTCACTTGGACATCTCAGAAAACAGGCTAACTTTACACTCCTGCCCCAGGACATAATTTTGACTTACAGGCACTTTAGGGTATTACTGAAGATCTTTAAATCAATCTTATTCAAGTAACAAAAGCAGTCTTTCTTTTTCATGTTGGTACATTTTTCTAATAGTGTTTATGTAAAAGAGTGTGTCAAACTTTTCTTCTATGATCTCTGCAATTCTCTGTAGTGAGCTGAAGAATGAAAGTTATGGGTAAACACACCATTTTTCTTTTAGAACTGTAGGAATTGTAGAGAAGAAACCAATCAAATTCAAGTTTTATGGTATAAGAAGTCATTAATAAACAGATATCAAACAGATATGAATAATAGTAGCTGCAGCTCAGATTTTAATGAATCATGGACTGATAACCCACTACTACAGAAATGAAGCACAGTACCCTGGGAAAGTAAATCTTAGTGATCCAAAGAAGATAATGTCTAGCTCAGACTCTCTCTTCTGTTGCTGAGTTACTGCAGTCACAAATATGGCCTCTCGGTGCCTCCTAAGTAGAGAATTCTTTACAACAGCCTTCTGCCACTACATACATTGGAGCTCTTCAACATATTCTCAATTTTAATTTCAAATAGAGATCAAACATTTGCTTCGAGTTGTATGCATGTAGAAGGGTTCTGTGGATTTTAGCAGTTATTTAAAGCATTACAGGCTTGAACCTACAACCCACAGAAATTGGAAATAAAATATGTGAAAAAAAGCATATTTTTCACACATTTAACTGTAAAATCTGGTCTGAAAAAAGGCTATCAAAATATTCACATCCTAAATTGCCAAAGATTAAGTACTTCTGTCATCTTCTGACAGCATTCCTGGAGCTCTTGTAAAAACATAATTGTACCAGATGTAAAGAAGATGAAATATGTATTTTCATCAATTTAACAAAATAGAGAACAAAAATGTAATAGCTTTTACTCATTTTGTTTCCTAGCATTGATCAAAGCCAGTAACTGCTTGCCAAAAAAGAGAACAAGACAGATTATTTTGTTCTTCCTACTTACGTTTTTCACATTAAGGAATATTTCTGCATCTCTTCTTGTTTTCAAGGGATGAAATCACATTAATTCAGTTCATGCTATGACCTTACTATAAAAAATTAGGAAGTCAAGGTCCATTTTCGTAGTTAATTTTATAATTAATGTTAGGAGTGTTTTTGGTTTTGGTTTTTTGGGTTTTTGTATGTTTGGTTTTGTTTTCATTTTTTTCCATTTCAGTGCTAAGCATGTTAAGTGGTTATGTGGCCTATCTTCTTCTGGGACGGCATAACAATTAGTTGTTCTTAGTTTTGCATTGTTTGTTTGCTACCTAGAAAATTCAGATTACTTCATTCTGAAACTTATTTTGATGCTGAAATCCAAGAACAAGGGAGAGATGCTCAGTGAGAGGAGTGCTACAGAGTTAAATCTTATAGTCACATATAAAAATATTCTCAGATGAGTATGTTAAAATCCCATTAGATCTTACAAGCACCTCCTCTCTTCTCAGTGCTGTCTGCTGTTGACTGAATCTAAAGTCAAATTGCCTATGTACATTCATAGTACACATGAATCTGTACACATGGATCTCAAGATCTGTTTCTCAATGATCTACTAAAAACAAAGATGCAAGGGAAATTAATAAGAGAAATACAGCAGCCTGTGAAGCCTAGAAGAAGATCATGAATAGATATGGTAACATGGGAACAAAAAAAATCTGTAACCAAGAAATACTATGAAAAATTGAATGACTGAAGACACCTTAATTATAACTTTTTCTTAAGTTCTTTCCTACTAAATGGATTGCTAACATAACAATTATTACTATCAGTAAAATGTAGTATGAATAATAAATCCTAGTGTGAGTATTCTCTGCTAATTTTTAGTAGCAGAAACAATCACTATAATTAATTAACAAGCCCTATGCATTCTTCTAGCTCCTTGGACATGGACACCAAGACTTGTAATGCAGAAAACCAGAGACAGTTGTTAGGCTTTCAAGCCAACAGCAGAATAGAAGTTTTAGTAATAATACCTATCAATTGTATTTCACAAGTAATTGGACAAAACAAAATATTAGTATGAAAGTATTCTATGGCAATAAAAAGACAAATTTCACCCCAGGTACTAGGGAACATATGTACCACATGCAAAAAAAAACAGGAAAACAAGGAGTTTAGGACTTCTCTGGAACTATAATCCTAGTGTTGGTACATGGAATCTATGCTAAAAAGAAAAAGAAAGTAGCTTTCAGAGGGAAAGTTTGTGGATCAAGAACAATGGGATATCAAGTAACAAGTAACACTGAGGGAAAAAAACACCAAAAAATCACCCCCAAAACAACCCAACAAACTAAAAACAAGTGATGTGATGTAGAGGATATTGCAAAAAGGTCAATAGTGAGTCAACTATGCAAACTCAACTTTTAGTTGCAGCCTGAAAATTTTGTCATGATTTATCTCAAGTCAGAATGTCTATGAAAGAGGGTATGGTAAAAAGGTAAAATGAGCAGTAGCAAGAAGAAGATATCATATTTAAAAGAATTCTTAGGGAAGTCAAAGAAAGACTACTGGAGAAAATAGGAGTGGTTTGTAACTTCTGGCTATGGTGTGCATATTTAGTCTAAAGAGCAGTCTTTCTGTCATGACAGGACTGGAGAATGAAAAATGTGGAAACTCTTTTACAGGGCCACCTGTGAAACCACAAACAAGTAAGACTGATGCTTGTACATTACTAATGTACTTAGTAGACTCTTGTATAAATACAACAAATTGAGGATAGTCAACATGATTTCTAGACTGGATCGTTCTGGGTCATAATCCTGCTGAAGTTCTTCTCCTGCTCACAGAAGGATCAGCTGTGAGGTCAGACCCCAGAATTCAGTCAGGGAGTACATGGACAAGCTAAGTTCATTTGATACAATCTTGGAGTTTATAAAAGTACTTAGCAAGTTCATTCATCAGTTATCTAAAGAAACAGCCATCAGTTATCTAAGGAAAGATCTTGCAGGATAAGTAGTTAGTTAAGAGATTGATATGAATAGTAGGAGCAGATGATCAATTTTTATAAAAGGGTGTTTACAGATATCTGTGCTACAACTAAGGTTTATATTAAATGTTTCTATGAATCATCTGGAAAGGAAGGCAAGTAGTGAGGTGATGCTGGTGGTATCAAATTACTCAGTTTAGTAAACATGAGAGCTAACAATAGGTGCAGACAGAGTTTAAGAGGATCCTTATTTTTGAGGGATGGCACCTGCCACTCTGAAAATATACAACGTAATGAAGATCTCTCTCCACTTTTTGGACCCTTTCTTATGCCTTTCTAAGAGAAATTATGCTGAAGGAATGACAAAAAGAGAAAAGTACTTCCCAATTTCTAGTGTAAGAAAAGATGGACAGTGTAAAGACAGACACCAAAAAGGTTTAACTTATTTGGAGGAGAATAACTTTTAAGGCAACAAAGATAAAGTTCTGCTCTCTCAAGCATAATCTAATCTCTCCAAAATTGTCACTGACTGAGCTATAATGCAATTCTACGAGGTATTTCCTTTGCAACTTATTTCAAGCCTAATAACCGTTATGATCTGAATTAGCCAGAGAAGGTAAGAGATTCATTACCTAATAAGTTGTAGAAGAGCACTTTCTGAAGTCCACTCATTTGATATCATTGCTACTAAGTTCTCTGAACTTTATATTTACTGCATAAAACCACACTCAGGAAAAAGGCGTGGAAAATTTGCCTGTGTATGTCCCTTTTTGTGAAACTACACCTCCTATCCTACAAAGGTAGAAAACAGTAAAGCTAATTCATGCTCTGATAAAACAGATGAAGTACATGGTCCATGCATTCCCTCCTTGTGCCTACCCCTAGCACATCTGGGAGCTTTCCTCCTTGCTTTTTGCACAGAAAAAGGTGGTGAGTTAGGAAAAACGAGCCAATAGTGACTGTGCTAAGGTAATTTGATATGGAAATGGCATCTTCTGTATGGAAAGAACTGACTGGTTTTTTTATAGTTTTGGTTTGGTTTGGTTTTTTTCCCCCTACAAACTCTCAGGGTCCTGTAGTGTCTAACAGGCTTTACTGACTATGACTATTCTCCCCTTCAGCCTCCCTGCACCCCTGCCCATGGGCCCAGGAGCCCATTTCAGCTCAACCTGGAGACTGAGCTATCTTGTACATGTGCCTGCCTGTGGCCTGTCTCTAAACTGTTGTTTGAGAAGTTATGCCAACCCTTTCTGTTATGGAAACAGTGATGCACTTTACTTACCAGAGAGAAGCTACAATATATTTTATAAATATGACACTGAGTTAACAATGGCAAATTGGTTAATGGCTTAACAAGATTCCATGGCAAGGTACACTTGATTATTTACTGCATGGAACGCAAAGCTGTTAGGGAGACCCTCCTGATGAAACGTGAGGTTCAGAAAGGACACCCTTGAGTTCTAAACTCTTTCCCAGAGTGGAGTCTAGGTGCAGCTGAATCCAGACTTAGTGCCAACTTTGTCTACAATTTATATCTAAGGATTATGTATTCTTTATATAATTTAGTTAAGATTTCAAAATTTCAGTGCAATTATTTCCAAATCATTGGAAATGACACAATAAGAAGTAATCTTAAGAGACATCCCTACTCAAGAGGAGATCCTGGTATACAGCCTGCCCCATGCAGGAGAGCTCAGTGGGCTCTGGGCTGTTCACTATTTATGGAACAAGATGACCGACTCATAGTCACATTTGCACACCAGTCATATTTCAGATGGCGCTTGCTCAACTAGCCCTCAGCAGCTGAGTAAGATTTATAGCCCTCAGCTATTGTGTTATCTGTCTCTCCAGAGTTCAATTTAAGCCAGATGCAGCCATCAGGACCAGCAGCTGCTGCTTAAGCAGAAAGCAGGGCAGGGGAGCACAGCACCACACCTTCTCACCTCTTTATGTAAGAGCGAGTCTCTCTTCACCTAATAATTCTTTTGAGCACTTGTTACTATTTGAATGGTCTTGTTGAAAAAGAACAACAGTATAATGGAACCTGTTGTATTTTATTATAAGGTTATCCTTTTGAAAGTGATCAGATTAATATGTGAGTAGGTATAACTCACAAAACTATGTTAAAATTTATTTAGGGGTCACTATATGGCATATTCTGTAGATACTACATTTAGTATCCTTCATCAGAAATCCGTTTACCTAGGAGTGGTGTACTATCAAAAATCCTAGTTACTGAATCTGAAGATTTGCCTTACATTTTCTGAGGGGATTTGAAGGGCAGGAGGAGCTGACTTCCCCTTGTTGTTTATACAGGTGCAGCAAGAATTGGTATCTTGTAGGGTCAGTGGTGTCTGAAGAGGAAGTGGATGAGAGGAGAGCAAGAATGCATGAGAAAGTATCTGGAGGAAAGGATCCAAATGGAAGGAGTCAGAAGTTACAAAAGGTGAACACGTCAAGAGCTAGATCAGCAAAAGTTTTAGAAGTGGAAAGCTGAATGCACCAAAGGAAGATTTTTGTCCCAGCTACTTTTATATAATAGATCAATAAAGCCAAGCTCTTTTGCTCTGCCTCAAACCTCCTCTCTTCTCATTAGAGAAGAATTCTGGGCTCAATAAACTCTCAAGCACTATGGACAGAAAAACTTCTCTAAAGCTTTGTACCAGCAAGGAACACAAAGTAGAAGAACCATCAGATACTCTGATCTGTTTTCAGTGGATCAAGTTGCTTCTCTCCTCAGTTCTATCATTGTGATTGGTATATTTTAAGAAGTGAGATGCAATATTACACTGTTTCCAACAGAATTAGTTTTTGTGTTTTTTTTTTCTTAATTTCACCTCATTGTCATCTCACCTCATCTCTTCCTACAAATGGATCCAAAATTGTCATAGTTGATGACTATTCACCTAGATACAGTTTTATACATTCTATGTTTGCAAAGAATTATTTTTATTCCTTGACATTTACATCTTGAACTTTACTGAAACTGAATGCTGGAGAATTTGTGTTGGCAGGCCATTTAATATTATCTAATACACTAGGATTGATTAGTTTATCTGCATAACTTTTACTGTTTTCTTCTTTTAAAAAAAAAAGCTTGCTTTCCAGTCTTGCTGCTCAGAAAGAAATGTGCTACATTTTGTTAGTTACAAAAGAACTTACTGAGGAGCTGAGAAGATGAAACATCAAAGGCTATTCTCAATTGTAAAAGAATGATGAAAGAAATACAGTTTCTAATAGCCAATCTAAACCTCCCCTGACACAACTTCAGGTCATTCCCTCTTGTCCTATCACTGGTCACCACAGAGAAGGGATCAGCACCTGCCTCTCCTCTTCCGCTCGCAAGGAAGTTGTAGACTGTGATGAGGTCTCCCCTCAGTCTCCTCTTCTTCAGGATGAACAGACCAAATGACCTCAGCCACTCCTCACATGGCATCCCCTCAAGGCCCTTGACCATCTTCATTGCACTCCTCTGGATGCTCTCTAATAGCTTAATATCTTTCTTATGTGGTGGTGACCAAAACCGCACACAATATTCAAGGTGAGGCCACACCAGTGCAGAGCGGAGTGGGACAAGACACCTCCCTTGACTGGCTGGTGATGCTTTGCCTGATGCCCCAAGACATAGTTGGTCCTCCTGGCTGCCAGGGCTGCCTGGAGGATGACTCACATTCAACTTTCCATCAACCAAGACCCCCAGGTCCCTTTCCATGACACTGCTTTCCAGCGTCTCATTCCCCACACTGTCCATACATCCAGGGTTACCCCATTCCAGGTGCAGAATCCAGCACTTTCCCTTGTTGAACTTCGTATGGTTGGTGATTGCTCATTTCTTTAATTTGTTGGAGTCTCTCTGCAGGGATTCCTGCCTTCGAAGGAGTCAACAGCTCCTCCCAGTTTTGTGTCATCTTCAGACTTGCTTAGTATCTCTTCCAGTCCTGTGTCCAAGTCATTTATGAAGATGTTGAAGAGCACAGGGCCTAAGATGGAGCCCTGTGGAACCCCACTAGTGACAGGTTGCCAGTCTGGTGTCATCCCATTCATTATTACCCTCTGTGCTTGACCCACGAGCCAATTGCTCACCCACCACATGATGTGTTTATCCAGCTGTGTGCTGGACATTTTGTCCAGAAGGATCTTGTGAGAGACAATATTGAAAGCTTTACTGAAATCCAAAAATATTACATCAACTGGCTTTCCTTGATCAACTAAGTGGGTTACTTTTTAATAGCATGAAATCAGGTTTGATAAGCAGGACTTTCCTCTCATGAAGCTGTGACCAATGACTGCGTTGTCTTTCAGGTATTTTTCAATACCTCTCAGAATAATTTTCTCCATAGCTTAACCAGGCACTGAAGCAAGACTAATAGGCTGTATTTTCTGGGGTCCTTCTCCTTGCCCTTCTTGAAAATCAGGACAACATTTACAAACATTTACTTTGAAATCTTTAGAGGAATAATGCTTTTATTGATGAGTGCTTTTTGTGATGAGGATTTGTTAAGAAAAGTTAAACTCTTCAAAGCAATGCTGGCAGAAAAAATGAGCAATTTCCCTTTATTTGCATTGAAGAATGAGCATTGCATGGTCTCATATCCTGGACTGTGTATCCAGGTCTAATAATCAATTAAAACAAAGCTGCTCTACTCAAGACAGTTATTTGAAATTTCAAGAAATCTTTTCTTTGTTTTTTTTTTTTTTTTTAGAATAACTTTGAGTTCACTTCTGAAAGGAAAGCACTGCCTGTAGGATGCATTAACATCTTCATTTTCCACGTTTGCTCAGTTATATATCTAAGCAAGATATAGGGAAAACAAGGATAGACAGATTTGATATGTGCATCAAGATATGATTATCAAGTAATTTCATGAGTTTAACTGAAAAGGTAGTGATACATCTCTAAGGATTCCTAGAGCATATAAATAAAGCAAACAATAAAGAGGGCACAATGCAGAACAGCAAAGAAGTATATATGAAAGCATTTATGGCTTACTCAGAATAATACAGCGTCAAAATTCTGTATAAACACCAAACTTGAAAGAAATTTTAAGCCTGTGTTTCTTCTTCTATAACATGAAAAATAAAGTCCTTGGTATGTGCAACTCAAAAACAGAATTTAAAGATCAGTATATGTGGCTTTAATGGATAACAGATGTAGGTATTTGAGTTAGAGGGCTTTATTAATTTTTTTTTAAATATTTTTTTAGAGATTTACCTGTACAGTCATGGTCAGAGGATATTTTCAGGAAAGAGCTTTTAAAAGAAAATATGAGAGTTTTAATTTTTATTTCAGTGATCATCCAATAGTGTTTTAAAAGAAAGCACTTGACTGCATTTTATTCACAGGGACTGAATTCAAGAGGAGTGGGGGGAGCCAGAGAGGAAAATATAATTACATTTTTTCCAAGCTCAGCATACAAAATATTCTTCACGTGATTGAAGTGGCAAAATAAATCGCCACTCACTTAATTGTGCAGATGTTCAAAATACTATAAAGTTTAATTTTATCAAGATTTTAAAAAAAGCCTAAAACAAAACAAGGAGACACTGTAATTTCTCTTTTGGTTCCAGGCAGTTCCAAAGCAGTTTTTTTCTTCCTATTTGTGATTTAATGAAACTAAGCCCTGCAAAGTTCTAGTATTTATTTTGATGGGGAAATTTGTGCCTCCCTCATGTCATGCATAAGCTAATGGTAGTTTTCTTAGCTAGGTCTCATTGCTTTGCATATATTTTTCTCAGAGCGTTATGATCTTATCTGTTGGACCTTTATTAAAACTATCATGGGGTGAGACTTATCAATATGTCAGAGCCCTTTAGGAAGGATTTGCTTTTTGCCATGTTTATCCCATTTCCCTAGATATTTCTAGTCCATTTCATTGAAATAGGTTTATGAGTGCTATACCTGGTTAGTTATAACATTGTTAGACACCACATCAGTATTTATTGGGTCGGAACCACCTCGAGGGGAGAGTGTGTGTGTGTGTGCATTTGCGCGTGTCTTCGTAGGGGGAAGGAATAGGTCGAACCTCGTGGAGGTGGGGTGGCATCTTATCCTTCGTGGCAGGTTCCCTTTCTTGATGCTTAGGGTGGCCTGGAGCTGGAGGGACTGGATTTTGACCTAACTGTTGCAGATTGTTTGGATTTTGACTTGTTGTAGATTAATTTTTGCTAAGTTGGTATTGTGGTGGAATATTTTGTCTAGCTTTTGTAGTGCCCTTTTTGAACCTTTACCAACTTTCCTTATTTTCCCCTCTAAATTAATAAAGAAACCTCTTGGGAACAAGTCTGCGGCTTATTCTCTTGATGCTATCTTGAGGTATTAAAGAACCCTATATCTATATTTTAAAGTAAAACTCCTAGCTGAGCCCGTGAGCTGGCAGCTCCAGGGGCTAGAGTCTTACAACCATTGCAGACTGGTTTTGGGTGTTCAAGCATACCCAATTTTCTTGATACTCATCAACAGATTAATTTTCGCTCCTGTAAATCCCTTCTGTTGTAATAATATCACTTCAAAATTGACATTTCTTTAGTCTTGAAATAAGAAATGTTTTGTTCACCGAGATAACGTGATTGCAATCTTCCTCTTTTTCATTAATTGTCAGTACAGAGAAAAGCTGTACTTTACAACACTGTGGTTTACAACTTTATCAGTTGACCTCTTTGTTGTTACACTCCCTGTTTTGTCTATAACACCATAACATGGGATAGCATATGAGCTAAAAACATTAAGACTTTGATGTTCATCTAGTGTAATAAATGTTCTATAAACACTTCAGAGGGATCATTTTAAATCTATCAAAACATATGTGGGTGCTATAGCAAGTTTAGGAAGACAGAATTTCATCTTTATCTAGCATTTATATAGTTACTATTAATTCTTTCTCACTCTTCAAATGTTTTCTATATTCTGCCTAGGTTTGCTGACAGACTATAAGCCTCTCACTGGATTCTTGCAGTTCTAGAATCAGTCTGGCATCTAACAGGACAAGATCACTAGCCCAGTTAGGTTTATAAGCTTTAGCCATAACCTATCTTGCCACCCTGGCTGTGACAAAGCAGTTCCTGCTCACCATACTCTCATCCTGCTGCCTTCCTTGTGCTTACAAGAGCCAGGGGAGCTGATCAGGGGCTGATTTAGGTGGAAAAAAAAAAGCAGCCATGCATTATTCTCTGTATTAGTTGCCTCAGCTCCCTGATATAGCCAATAAAGAGTCTGCCTTGGCACTATTAAAAGAAGTGGGAAGTGGGCAAGGAGGAGTGACAGGACAGAGTCAGCCAGGAACTGCGGGTTTTGGCAGAATGCTGTGTAAATGCAAGTCAGATGGCCTTTCTGAGAGTAGTTCCCATGGAAACTGAAAAAGTGTTACTTTCCTGAAGTTTTATCACTTGGAGTTATGAATTTGTATCTCCACCGATATCTCTCTCCTCATCTTTGTGGAGAAAAGCAAGTGCCATTAAAAATAGATTTGCTGAATCTAACAGTGAATCAATTCTGAACATAGTTGTTTGCACACAGTTCCCACTCAGAGGCAGACTGCGAATTATTTCTCTGAA